GTTCCCCCCCCCCCCCAGTTTTAAAATAACTTTAAAAATAACTCTGGTCCTTCAGGGCCTTCTGGAAGAAGATGGGGCCTAAAGTGAATTCTTATGCCCCCCACAAGAGCGAGAGCAAGGTCATCAACGCTGCTGGCATTCTGGGAATCAGGATTAGAATGGCAATAAGGGACCTTGGCAGCATTTGAAGTAGGGGAGGAATTGGGTAAGATTCTTTCTAAAGGAACACACGATTTTAGTGCAGGGAGCTCTGGTGCTTCTGGAGACTGAATGATGAAGGTTTCAGATTAGAAATGACACGAATCAACACTTTTATAACAAGTATTGGTATTTTGGTGCTTAAAAGTAACAGGAGAGGTTGGAACCCAATGTCAGTGACGTGGTGGCCAAGACGCCTCGGGAGGGGAGGGCTGCGTGTAGCTCTGCAGCCCGGTGCCTCCCAACCTCACGCTCTCCAGTTGGTTCTCCCTGTCTGTGTTTCCTGCTTGAAACAAGTGCCTCCTGCTGCGCTGGTGCCCTGTGATCCACCCCAGGGGGTGCGCGCTGGTCAAGCTGAACCAAGAACGCCGTCCATGTGACAGAAATGGATAGATGGCTGGCATTTTAACTGTTTTGGCCCCCAAAACTGAAGCTCCTACACAATTTGGCAAATAGATCTTGTGAGCAGAGGTGGATTTAGCATAAGTTTAATAAAGATGAAGTTTTAGGGTCTCTTCCAAAGCCCTGGAGGGGCCCCAGGAATGTGTTCTCATGGTCCTATGCTTTGTAAAATTTGCAAAAGTGAGATATTTAAAACACAATTACTTTCTCTCTGTCATAATTTCCCTCACATCCAGTGACTCTGGAGTAGTCAGAGGAATTTTGGGGATCCCCCCTCAGCTGAAGCTGAGGGGAAATTGAAGTGGCGATCTACTGGGTTGGGTGTAGGTTGACGTGTCGTAGGTTTGTAGTCTCTTCTGTGCGCAGTGAGGTTATTACTAGCCCGCCTGGTACAGGATGGGCTTCCAGGGCCACTCCCATGTCCACCAGCATCATGACAAAGGTGCAGGGTCTGTGGTCACATGACAGCATGACAGAGTGTGGGTTGTGGGGGAGAAACAAGACGTGAGGTGTGCAGAACCAGGGCTGGTATACGGCAATATCTCCCAAGCGTCAGACACGCTCCGTGAGCAGGAGGTTTGGTTCCTGGCAGTGCCCAAACAGAAGTATGTCACCATCGGGAATGTGTTCAGGGATGAAGCGTATATACAAGTACACCGCACCAGCACTTCAACTCTATCTTTGTCGAGTCGAAGATTTGGGTGCAGGTGGTTTATTTGGGAAGCAATCCCAGGAAGCAGGAACGAGGGAGTCTGCAAAGTGAGAGGGGAGGAGGAAACACTGGCACAAGGGTGTGCTCAGGTGATCACTGCTGTGAGCAAAGGGGGCTGGTTCTGCCGGGACACCCTCCCACCTCAGAAACATACAGAACCTCCCCAAACTCACCACTACCATGAGGAGGAGGAGCTGGTGCCTTTGATCAATGGCCCTGACTTCCCGCATGGCTGTCAGCTGCCCACACCTCTGGGCTGTGCCAAGTGAGCTCATGAGGGCAGAATGTGGGAAGATGCACCTGCTGGAGCGGAGCCTGCAGCATGGGCTGGCCTGCGCCCACGCAGACTGAGTGCCCGGCCCGTGGCTGTGTTCAGAGGTGGCGAGGAGGTGGCACATGGATAGGACTGGTGTGCACAGAACTGACCAGAATCCCTGTGCTCATGTGGCCACAACCCTGTGCCAGTGCTACAAACAGAGAGTGAGTCTTTAAGAGCTCACACCCAAAGGAAGTTTGGTAGAAGTCCTCCCAATTCCACAGCAATCCTAAACATTTACTGACTTTACCAATGATAAGTTGTGTAGCTGAAAGAAACTCTTCAGAACTATCAATAATAAGCAACAAATTTTATTTTTTCATTCTTTCTACAGACAGTGATATCATAAAATCATTGTGATAAGGAAGAGGTGGTCATATTATGCAGCTCAAGAATGTAAGAAAATCTTTAAAAAAAAACCTGTAGTTTTTACTGGACTTTTTGAGGCTTATGGTACTTGTCAACTTTTGACAATTTGTAATTTGTTGTGACTTCTTTTCCCATTCTAAGTATTCAAATTTGTGCCTAATTTTGTGTTTAGAGTTTTGTGTTCTGTTTTCAAAGAGGGCCCCGTGAAACCTGGACTGTCCCTGCTCACGTGAGTCCTTGGCAGGTGGCAGCTGCCATCCTGGGAGGAGCCCCAACTTGCCAGGTCATCTTTAAGAAGTCATTGACAGAGGGAGCCTCAGTCCCCTGGCACATCGAGACCCTGGGTAAATTGCCAAACATTGCTGGATTTCTTACACGGCTTTAGAAACCCCTTCCAATTAGCTGTTAAAAGGCACAGATACTCTTTTGCTTGGAATGGCACCCAAAGCACTTTAGTAACGATCGTTTCAGGGACAGAGAGGACTGATTCCAAAAGCACACAGCATCACACTGTCATTCAGACTTGCTCTAGATTGAGAGGAAAGCATTTTGCAAAGATGCTGCTGAGAGAGAGTCCTTTGGGCCTCACGCGGCAGCCCCACACTGGTCTGTCGAATGAGTTTGCCCAAGTTTCTGCCTCCCCGAATCCCCAGGGCTGTGGGTTCCTGAGAGACTCAGTGCCCTCCTTGGTCTCCAAACACCTGCTCGATTTGGGGGTTGAATGGATTCTCCTTTCCTAGGACCTGGGGCCACTGGCGTCGTACCTTCTTCCAGAAGCGGTCTGCCAACAGCAGGGACGCCACCTGCAAGACAGAACCAGTGGAGGCGTGGGAGGATGTTATGAAAATTATGAACTTACCAGCAAGGTTTACCATGTTCTTTCCATGGTGGACAGACTCTGGGTGGTCCCCACGATGCCTACCCTCATGTCTTTGTGTAATCCCCGTCCCTTGATGTGGGTGGGGCCTATCACCTGGCTCTAACCTGTAGAGCATGGCAGGGGTGAAAGGACATCCCTCGAGTGGTTATGTTGCATCATGCAAGACTCTCCTGAAGTAAGAAGCCACGCCAGGAAGCCCACGACGCAAGGAGCTGCGGTGGCCTCCAGCTGACACCAGCAAGGAGCCGTGTCCTCAGTCCTGCAGCTTCCAGGAGGTGACTCTGCCAACAACCCAAGAGAGTCTGAAAGCAATTCTTCCTCAGTTGAGTCTCCGGATGAGAATGTGGCCTGTGACACACCTTATTTTTAGTTTTGTGAGCCCCTAGGCAGAGGAGCCAGTTAAGCTGACCAGTTAAGAAACTGTGGGATAATGAATGTGTATTGTTTTAAGCTGTTGAATTTGTGATAATTCGTTATTTAGTAATAGATTACGAATTCTTTCTCAGAAGTCCGCTTACTCACTTATGGATAGCTAACGTTTACTGCAGGCCCAGGGCGAGGGTTTTGGAGATGAACCTGAGGAGCTCTTCCCTGGAGGAACTCCCACGCCACTAAGGGAACTGGGCATGTGAAATGACACCACCAAACCCACTGGAAGGGCTGTGATGGGGGCACACACTGGGAGGCGGACAGATGCCAGCCCTGCTGGGAGGGGAGGGGGCAGATCCTCTGGTGAAGGTGGTGGCTGAGCTGGATTTTCAATGTGGAGTTCACCAGGGGGACTGTGGGGAACAGTGCCCGTGGTAGAAGATACAGCCTGTGCAAAGGTACAGAGGTGTGGGAGAGAAAGGCATGGGCAGGGAACCACGGGCACCAGGAGATGAGGCTGGCCAGGTCACTGGCTGTGGCTGGGACCCAGATGGAGGCTGTGAGTGTGGCAGCAGTGCCAGAGCCAGGGGCCGCTTGCTTAATGCACAACAGGCTTAGCACCAGCTCTCCCAGCCCAAGGCCTGCTTTCTGGTCCATGCTGTGCCTCAGGTCTGCCTTTACCCGCAGCATTTGCAGGATCCACTGGGTGGTCCAGTCCTCTGGCTTGTCGTTAACACATCTCTGCAGAGGTGGCTCTTTCTCTGCAGATAATGCCCTCATTTAGCAAATGGGGCCTGGCTTGCCTGCAGGTCCCAGAGGGCTGCATTGCAACAGTGGTTTTTATTGCTGAACAGTATCAGAAATGTGATGCTGAAGGCCTCAGAGGGGAATGCATTGTTCAGGGAGGATGCTCAGCAACGTCCCCTGATTTTATTCAAAAGCACAGGGACACTGTCTCCAGAGGGCAGTTCACAGTCGACCATTCTAAACAGGCAGTTTGGCTGACTCCCTGCATGACACTGGGCAGCCTTCTTCCACTCTGGGGGCCGGCCCTCTCCTCTGCACATTGAGTGGGCTAGAGTCAATGATCTAAGGTCCTTTCTGGATCTAAGTTGTGTGTAAGATTTTAGCAGTTGTTAGAAAAAACTGGAGCTGGTCAAGTCACTGCATTAAATATCCCCAGTATTTTAATGTGTTCTGAGCCTTCTGAGGTGGATCCAAAATTCCTCCATCCAACCATGGACTCTTCACCGTATCCATAGAGTGTCCAGCACCTCCTGCCACCCTCCTACGTAACACACACACACCACATACACACATGCCACACACATCCCGCAGGCAGACACACAGCATATACACCCCACACACATGTCTCACGCACACCACACACATCACCCCCCCCCCCCCCCCCCCCCCCCCCCCCCCCCCCCCCCACCCACGGGGCAACC